ACATCCAGCGTCTGGAACACGTTACGACGAACAATTTCAGTGCCACCCCATCGGGTCGAAAAGCCGAAACCGCATCGGCGAAAAGCCTGGTCGGGGAGAACCGGGACGTAGCGCACCTGACCGTGCCTGGATCGTAGTCTACCCGCCCCTCGGACTGGAAATCGGAGTCGACCTCGCCGAAGCATTTGACTTTGGAAAGTTGATCTTTCCGTGCCCAAGGCTACACCACGGTCGTGACAGATGCTCCATCATCCACGTTCATGGCTTCTGACTTTTGCAAAACCGACCTTGTATGGGATCATCCAGCGCGTGCGGGTGAACCCCCTACCCATTGACGACCCGACGAAAATGAAAAATTGCCAGTACACACCTGCTTAGAGTTAAGAATATCTTAGGCTAAGAAATGGATGTCACGCCAAACGTGTTCTTCGACAGCATCCCAGGTCCAGATATACGACAGCTTTACGAAACCAGAGTCCTCGTTGTCCTTAACAAAATGAGGAATCCATGGAAGCTTGTTTTTTGTCTCAAAACTCCTGATGGGTGTATGATTGATATTGTCCACAAGCTCTACTTTTTCGCATACGAGAATGCCAAAAGTCCATGTAAAATTGAAGACGCAACTAGATGCTTGTGATCTGACAACGAATACCACTATTTCCATACCGCCTTACGAACAATAAGCATGTCATTGAGTCAAGCCTTCGCTGTGCGTTGCGCCCCGTCTCGTGCAGGCATGTGCCCCCCCCCACGCCATGGGCATGGCGCAATGGCGAACGTACGTCACCTCCCTCGGAGCGGCAGACCGGCAACTGCGCAACGGGCTTGCCATATGTCCACCCCCTCACATCCGTGACGCGAGAGAACGGGGGGAGGGAAGCAACGGGGGGAGGCGCGGGCACGCCTGGCGGCACCCGTGCAGGCCCGTGCGAGCACGGAAAACAGCACAGCCGCACAGGCCAACCCACGTGTGCAGCACCATCTCCCCGGCGGTGTGCGCGGCCCTCAGCCATGCGCACGCGACCGTACGCGCATACCCGCGCGCGTGCTCGATGCCTCAGGCTGGTGTGTGCTGCGAGCAAGCTCCCATGGAGACCGCAGGGGGCAGTGAACGCCACAACACGCCTGAGAGCAGCACCACAACAGCATGCGAGCAACACAGCGCGCGTGAGAACACCACAACCTGTGTCTCGGTCTACGGCGAGGGAAGCCTGACCACGCCAGCAACACATCAGCCTGCGAGCACCCCACTGTGTACAACAATATGCCGAACCCTGCAAGTAACAAAGTAGCCGGCGAGCACCTCAGCATGTCTGTGAGCACCAGTGTGACTGCGAGCAGTTGCAACAACACATGTATACATCACAGTTGCCGCACCAGGTAAGTATAACATCAGCCTACGAGCGCCGAAACATGCCTAAGCACCACAATAGCCTGCGAGCACCACAACGTGTCTGCGAACACCACGATTCGCCTCCAAACGGCAGCAGCAGCAGCAGCAGCACATGCACCACATGCACGCACAACATTACGTCGCACCCTGACAGTACGACGATACCATGCGAGCATCACAATTCGCTTGCGAACACCACGATAACAGCCAGCACCACACCGTGCTTGCGACCATGAGCACTATTATATCCTACGAACACCACATGTGAACACCAGAGTGTGCCTGCGAGCAGAATCATCTGCATGCGCAACAATTGGCCAGACCCCGCCAGTACCACAATAACCTGCGAGCACAACAACTGCCTGCGGGCGTCGAAATGTCTCTGCGAACAGCAGCAACACACGCGTGCACACCAGCGCATTACAACACACGCGTGAACAACAGTACGTATGCTGACTCCTTCCCGTGCCTCAGAAGCCCAGGAGCACTATGCGCGTGTGATCACGTAACAACCTGCGAGCACCAAAGAGCCTGTGAACACCACAATGCGCATTGCGAGCAGAAGAAGCAGCACACGTACACTCACAGAACTTACCATGGCCCCTGCCAGTAATACAGGTGCCTTCGAGCACCGCATCATGCCGTTGAGCACCACGACAGCCTGCGAGCACCCACAGCGCACCCGAGAGCACCGGTGCGCCTGCCATCAACTGTAGCAGCACGCGCATGCACAACGGCATGCCGCACTCCCCCCCGCCCTGAACGCGCCTGTCCTCTCCGCTGGCGCCACGAGGGCATCAAGAGGGGCGCATTGGCTGAGGCCTGAACCCCACACGCCCGACACCTGGGCCCTGGGGCCCTCGCAGCTAGACCCCGCGCGGGCAGTCGCCGCGCGCGAAGGGGGAGCTCTCCGGCCCAGGACGGCGCTGGCCTCTCCAGAACGCCGCGGGCCGCCTCGAAGTCCCAGTCTCCCTGGAAGGCGCCTCTGCAGGCTTCGTCCGCGTGGCAACGGCCGGACGGGTGAGCTGAGGTGGCGGCGCGCCTGCCAGAAGCAGCCTGCGGAGATGGCGCAGCGCGCCATGGGCGCCATAGGCCCCTCGAGTCTCGACACGTTCCCCTATCCTGAGTCCTTCTTTCAAGGTCCCGGGGCCCGGCAGGGGCCCCTGGAACCCAAATTGGCAAGACCCTTCCGCCGTGAGGTGCTCACGACGTGAGGGGATACGGATTCGGAGCTCAGCGGTCGCGACCCCAGGACCTCATCCTGGGTTGCGCTCTTGCCGAAAACTTCGGGGATGGAATCTGGCCATGGCCACGACAGCGCCCCAGCAGGGCACGAAACGCTGGAACCTGGATCCTCGACCCTCGGCGGAGGCGAAGAGGTGGATAGTCCAGGGGCGGGCGTTACACGCATTCGCCGAGGAGCCTCGTCGAAGGCACGGGCGAGCGAGGCTACTTGGCACATAGAGGAGCCAGCCCCATAAGGAAGAAGCTACATAAGGAACGGGCCCATAATTGGCTACAGGCTGAAAGAAGGAACGCTACGTAAGGAACGAAGCCCCTTTTTGGCACCAGAAGCGCCTGCGTCCACGAGGAGGGCTGGACCCAGACATCCGGCGTCTCGATTTTCGTCGAGACGCGGGCCCCCAGCCTCTGGACCACTTCCCTGGGACTGGCTTCTCAGCCCGACTCGTTTTTTGACGCTCCCGAGGCCCAGCAAGGGCCCCGAAAGGTCGAAAGCAATGAAAAACTTCCGTCTCGATATTTTCGAGACGCCGGATGTCAGGGGAGAAACTGCCATGGGAGGACCTAAGGAACCTAAAGCCCCTTCCGAACCCAAACGGCTGATTATCTCAGCGACTTGACTGCAGTGCTCCCCCCATAGGCTAGCCGCCCCTGCTGCTGCAGCATGGATCCAAGGCTCTGGGCCTGTGAGTAAAAGCCTTCTCGATTCTTCGTTTTTTCCAGGTGGAGTGTTCAAAGTCCTCCTCCTGCTCCTCCTCCTCCTCCTCCTCCTCTTCTTCCTCCTCCTCCTCCTCCTCCTCCTCCTCCTCCTCCTCCTCCTCCTCCTCATCATCATCATCATCATCATCATCATCATCGTCATCATCATCATCATCATCATCATCATCATCATCATCCTCATCCTCATCCTCATCCTCATCCTCATCATCATCATCATCATCATCATCATCATCGTCATCATCATCATCCGGATCATCAGCATCATCAGCAGCAGCAGCAACAGCAGCATCAGCATCAGCATCAGAACCAGCATCAGCATCGTCATCATCATCACCATCATCATCAGCAGCAGCATCAGCATCAGCATCATCATCAGCAGCAGCAACAGCATCATCATAGTTATCATCAGCATCACCATCACCATCATCATCACCACCACCACAATGACCATCACAATCACCATCAACATCATAATCATCATCACCAACAAAACATCATAATCATAATCATCATCATCAGCATCATCATCAGCATCATCATCACCACAACCATCATCATCATCATCATCATCATCATCATCATTTTCATCATCATCATCATTATCATCATCTCTATCATCAACATCGTCATCATCAGCATGATTATAATCATCATCAATATCATATTCGTCAGCACCATCATGATCATCATCATCATCACCATCACCATCACCATCATCATCATCCTCATCAACATCATCATCACCACAACCATCATCATCATCAGCATCATCACCACCATCACCATCACCATCGCCATCATCAACACCACCATCATCATCATCAGCATCATCAGCATCAGCATTGTCAGAATTATCAGCAGCGGCATTAGCATCTTCATCATCAGCATCAGCATCAGCACCATCATCATCATGTTCACCATCATTAGCATCATCATCATCATCATCAACATCATCATCGTCTTCGTTCTCCCTGGTTGGAATGCATTCAACCCGTATAGTAAGGATGCGCGGTAAGGATGCGAAGGCCTTGAAAGGCTATCTTCAAAACCCTTAAAGATTCGAAACCTAAGAGGCCCCTGTTGTTGCCACGAAGATCCAAGGGTCCAAGTCCGTGAGCAGAAACCTTCTCCACTCTTCGCTCTCTCCGGGTGGGATACGGTCGACCCGTATCGTAGGGATGCGCGGTAAGGATGCCAGGGCCTCGAAGGGCCATCCACAGGATCCTCGAGGATTCGAAACCTCAGGGCGCAGGGCAGAATGTAAGGGTGCAGGGGCAACCTTGGAAAAGCCGCTCATCCTTACTGTGCGGGTTGACTGTATTAGAAGTCCTGGTCAGCAGTGTGATAGACCTTCAAAGTGAGGTCCGAGTCGATGGGGTCGATGGATCGCGCGGCATCACCGCTGCATCAGCGATGTATCGGCCTTGCATCGGCAACATCGGTGATGCATTGGTGCCGTCGGCGTGAAGATAATGTGGCGATCCTGGGTTCTCGACGACCCTCGGCGACTCTTCGACGATCCTCCATCCTTGATCTTGGATCCTCGATCCTGGATCCAGGATCCTGGATCGATCCTGGATCCTAGCAATGCCCTGGCTTAGAAGCCTTGACTGGGTCACGAGCCCCGTGCGCAGGGCGGCGCGGCCTCGGACGACATCCCTGTACCACCTCTCCTCCTGAAGGTTCCTGCGCGTCGGGGGTTGCCCGCCAGGGGCAAGGACGAGAGCAAGAGTTCAAACATGTGCAACAATAAACATATAGACTGGGGAGAGCGAGAGAGAGAGAGAGAGAGCGAGAGAAAGAGAGAGAAAAAAAAAAAGGAGGGAGAGAGAGAGAGAGAGAAAGGCAGAACGAGTTGGACAGAATTCTCCAAAGAGTGCTTGCACGTCTTGTGTTCTGAAGAACTGGGCCTATGCGTCTTTCTGGCGGATATGTCACCGCCGTCGCCGCCCCGTCGCCGCCTCGTCGCCGCCCGACGTCTGGGGTTGTGCGTCGGTCTGGCGGCTATGTTGCCGCCGTCGCCGCCCCGTCGCCGCCCCGTATAGATTGGGCCATATAGACTGCACCGATAGGTTCTCCTTTCTATAAAGGAAATAGGTTCTGACACCCTCCCCCCTTCCGGACTTAAAAGTCCCCCTTTTCGTATTGCAGTTTACAAATGATTCTGCCCCATCTTCCATCCGAAATATGAACTTACACTATCCCAGGGGGGCCGGTATCGCCCCCCCCCGCCATCCTTTGCAAAAAAATATATGCGCGCACACTCGTTTATCAAAAATCATAAATGTTTAAGAACCCCTTGTAAAACATGTGACAAAATGCACGCGCGGGTTGTCGCGCGCGCGTGCTGGAATCCTTTAAACACCTTCGGTTTCGGAAAGATCCCAAAATTGAATGGCCAAAAAACATATAAAACATAAAGCTTCGCGACACGGACCTTCAACAAACAAACAAACAAAAACGAGCGCGCTCTTGCGAATTTTTAAGAAAACCATAGGATTTTCAACATTCATACTACATGCTACCAAACAGGCTTCGCGCGCGCGCATGCCGAAATCGTTCGAACGCCTTTGCGAGCGTGCCGTCGCGAGACCCCTTTGAAGACAAACAAGAAAAACAAAAAAACGAAACGAAATGCACACGCGCGCGAAGTCGCGCGCACATGCCGAAATCCTTAAAAACCTTCTGTTCGGAAAGAAGTCAAAATCGACGGTCCAAAAATAATACAAAAACACACATGGTTTCGCAACACGGACTGTCAGAAAAAACGTGCGCGCGGTCTTGCGATTTCTTTGAAAACAAAACCACCAATTGTTTCAACATGTTCGTAAAATGATGCCAAACGGGCTTCGCGCGCGCGCATGTCGAAATCGTTCGAACGCCCCTGCGCGCGTGCTGGGATGGCACGATCCGTGTCAAATAATACCACGTGAGCCACTCTCGCGCGTCTGCCGCGCGCGCATTTCGAATTCCTTCCAAAACCTTCATCACCGACGCGAAGACGCCGTCATCGTCGTCGGCGTGATCAGCCTGTCTTTCCTCGTCGTCGCCGTCGTCGTCCTCTTTGGTGTCGTCGTCGTTTCCGTCGTCGTCGTCGCCGTGGTCGTCCTTACTCCTCCCTCGTCGTCGTCGTCGTCCGTCGTCGGCGTCTCGTCGTCGTCCCTCCTATTTCGTCGCCGTCGTCGTCGTCGTCTTCGTCGTCGTCGTCGTCGGCGTCGTCGTCGTCGTCGTCGTCGTCGGCGTCGTCATCATCGTCGTCGTCGGCGTCGTCGTCGTCGGTGTCGTCGTCGTCGTTGTTGTCGTCGTCGAAGTCGTCGGAGCCGTCGTCGGTGTCGTCGTAGTCGTCGTCGGCGTCGTCGTCGTCGCTGTCGTCGTCGGCGTCGGTGTCGCTGCCAAGTGCCATTTGGTACCTACCGTCACGGTCTTAAGAGGTCTTGCGACCAAATTGCAGGTGGGAGGGTGGGGTGTTTGCACGAGCAGTGGAGTGGACAGCATCAGGACAGTCAGAGTAAATTGCACTACATAGATTGCACAACATAGATCGCACCAATTAGATTGCACGACGCAGACTGCACAACATAGATTGCACAACATACCTTGCACCACAGAGACTGCACCACATAGAATGCAGCACGTAGGTTGCACAACATCGGTTGTGCAACATTGCACCACATAGACTGCACAAAATAAATTGCACACTGTAGATCGCACAATCTTTGTTGCATAACATAAATGGCACCACACAGATTGCACAAACTAGTAGACTCTACTACCGCCCCCCCCAGGATTATCACCTCCCTTGTTCATATCGCAGTTTACATACGATTATGCCCCAACGCCCATCCTAAATAGGAGTCCGTATCATCCCAGCCGAACCGGTATCCGCCCCCCCCGCCAGCCACCGCAAGAAACACTATGCGCGCACACTCGTTTATCACAAATCATCAGTTTCCAGAACCCCTCGCCAAAAAAATGCGACGAAGCGTACACGCGCGCGCTGTCGCGCGCGCGTGCCGAAATCCTTCGGAAACCTTCGGTGTCGTAGATATTGCGAAATCAAAAACCCAAAACAAAGATATAAAAGAACAGGGTCTCGCAACACTGAATTTCAACAAAAAACTTGCGCGCGCGATCTCGCGAATTCCTAAGAAAACCATACGTTTGTCTGCATGTTCAGAAAATGCAACCAAACGGGCATCGCGCGCGCGTCGAAATCGTTCGAACGCCCTTTGCGCTCGTGCCGTCGCGAGAATCCATTGCAAAAAACGGGACGAACTGCACGCGCGCGCGCTGTCGCGCGCGCGTGCCAAAATCTTTCAAAAACCTCCGGTGCCGCAGCGATCCAAAATCCGAGCGCTCCAACAAAACATGGTTTCGCAAGATCAATGTTCAAAAAGCGTTCGCTCGTGCTGTTGTGAATTCTTAACAAAAACCGCAGGTTTCTCAACACGCTCATCGAATTCTACCAACAGGCCTCTGGCGCCGCATGCCGAAATCATTGGCACGCCCTTGCGTGCGTGCTGGGGGGCACGGTCCGTGTCAAATAATATCACACGAGCCACTCTGGCGCGTCGGCCGCGCGCGCACGTCGAACTCTTTCGAAAACGTTCATCACCGACGCGAGGACGCCGTCACCGTCTTCGGCATGATCAGCATCCGCGCCGTCACTGGCCGTGCCGCCGTCGCTGTCAACATCGTCACCAGCATCGCTACTATCATCATCGTGTCTACCAATGTCTACGTGACCATGATACCGCGCCCGCCCAAGTCGCCGATTCGCACTGAGCGGTCAGCACCACCGCGGCTGCGTCGGTCGCGCCAAACTAGCTGGACGCTGCGCGGAAATGCATGCGCGGGCTGTTGCGGCCGCAGATGCACCAGCCATCGCCAAGTACCCATCGCCATCGCCGCCGCATGGGGTTTGCAAACCAAGTTGCGGGTGGGTGGGTGGGATGTTTGCGCGAGCAATGGAGTGGACAACTTCAAGTTGAGTACTGGAGCATTGCACCGCAAATATTCTCCTTTCTAAAATGAGAATGAACTCTACCCCCGCCCTTCCCCCCCCCCGAACTATCACCTCCACTCATCCGTATTCTAGCTTACATACGAATGTGCCCCATCGTCCATCCGAAATATGAATTCGTATCATCCCAGTCGAGCCGGTATCCGCCACCCTCCCCGCCATCCTCTGAACACTATACGCGCACACTCGTTTATCAAAATCATCAGTGCCGAAATCCTTCGAATACTTTCGGTTTCGCAAGAGTTTCAAATTCGAACGTCCAAAACACATATAAAAACAAACGGCTTCGCAACACGGATCTTCCTACCTCAAAAAAAAACTGTGCTGGCGCCCTTGCGACTCCTTCAGAAGCCATCGGTTTTGCAACATGTTCAAAAAATTCTACCAAACGGGCATCGCGCGCGGATGTCGAAATCGCTCAAACGCCTTTGCGCGCGTGCCGTCGCGAGAATCCTTCGCGAAAGCACTGGGCGAACTGCACGCGCGCGCGTTGTCGCGCGCGCGCATGCCGAAATCTTTCGAAAACCTTAAGTGTCGCAGCGATTTCATATCCGTGTGTTCGATACACTTTACTTTTTTATCTTATATATTTTATATATATATATATCATATAATAAAACTACCCTAGTGCGGCCCTACCTAGGAGTTGGAGCCTCTAGGAAAGCAACATCACTAGGAGCGGTAAACGCCGTCCTCCTCCTTCTCCTCATCGTCGTAGTTGTAACAGTAGCGGTAGTAGTAGCATGGAACATACGTGCGCACACATATATAAATAGTACAGATATATCTATATATATATATATACACATACATATATAGCAGCAACAGCAGTAGTGGATGCTGTGCTGCGCTATGCTATGGTTTGCTATGATATGCTCTGCTATGCTATGCTATGCTATGCTATGATATGCTATGCTATGCTATGATGCGCAATGCTATGATGGGCTAGGCTAGGCTATGCTATGCTATGCTATGCTATGCTATGATGCGCTATGTTATGCTGCGTTATGCTATGCTATGATATGCTATGCTATGATGTTGCTTTGCCTTCGTTGTTGCCTTCACTTTTGTCTTTGCTTTTGCTTTTGCTTGGCACCCAAGGAGCGCAACTGGGGGAACCGCGCGTTTGCTTTTACCTTTGCTGTTGCTTTCGCTTGGCTCCCAGGGGACTGGGGGAACCGCCCGGGGCGCTTTCCACTGCCCGGCCCCTTTAAGCTAGAGAATAAGAACCCTTCTAGGCAGAGCCCAGGCAGGGAAAATGCGCTCGCGCTCGCGCGAATTCTTGGGATAATCATAAGTTTTCAACCTGCCCATGGAATTTTCCCAAACGGGCCTCTCGCGCCGCATGCCGACATCATTTGCACGCCCTTGCGCGCGTGCTGGGGGGCACGATCCGTGTCAAATATACCATGCGGGCCACTCTGGCGCGTCGGCCGCGCGCGCACGTCGAACTTTTTCCAAAACCTTCATCACCGACGCGAGGACACCGTCATCGTCGTCGGCGTGATCAGCTGGCCGCGCCTTCGTCGTTGTCAACATCGTCACCAGCGCCGCTGCTATCATCATCGTGTCTACCGCTGTCGACGTTGCAATGATACCGCGCCCGCCCAAGTCGCCGACTCGCAGTGAAGTGCCCGCTGGGATGTGCCCAGCGGTCAGCGCC